TTTAGGGTTTAGGGTTTCGGGTTACGTCCTAAACCTTTTCATCCTAGAAAATTCTCCGCAACGCGTAGAAACCCCAAAACCCCAACAATGAGGATTTAGGGTTTTGCTTTGGCTCATAGGAGTTTTAGTACCCTGAACCCTACTACGCTAAATCCTTGAGGGGCTTTAGGCGATGGGGCTTGAGAGGTTTGGGGTCTCGGGGTCTAGGAGGAAGCAGTTATATCGTCCCTAACCCAAACCCGACCGAAATCCTATTCGGGTTTCTTTTCCTTGTTGTGTGGGGGGAGGGGGGGGAGGGGGGCAAGGGGGGAAAAATATTCAACCACAGAGCCTGGACCCTAAACCCTAAACCCTGCCCGGGTGGCGGGTTGAGCTTTCAAGGTTTGGGATTCGGGGCTTGGGGCTTTGGGGCCTAAACCCCAAACCCCAAACCCCAAACCCCAAACCCTAAACCCTAAACCCTAAACCCTAAACCCTAAACCGTGGTTTGCGGTGGTCCTGCTTGCCCCGAGCACCCGTGGCAAGAGGGAGTGTACTGCCAGGAATGCGCGGGTACCCAGCGGCACCAATCGACGCAGGGGATTCCGACCTGATGCTTTCGGGCTTGGGGAAGTGAAACTTTAGGGTTTAGGGTTTAGGGTTTGGGGTTTAGGGTTTAGGGTTTGGGGTCTAGGGTTTAGGGTTTAGGTTGGGGCGGGGCTCTACCATCATTTGCAGGCCTCTACTATAACAGAAATGCTCGCCGGTAACGGGGCTTGTAACGGAAACTGTAACGGAAAGGAGCGGAGCTGTAACGGATTAGTCGCGGAGCTGTAACGGAGCCATATCGGAAGGCTGCAACGGAGCGCTACCGGCTGCAGCGATGCTGTAACGGAGCCATAGCAGAAGCAGCAGCGTGATAACGGACCTGTAATGGAGCTGTACAACTGAGCTGTAACGGGAGCTGTAGCAGAGCTGTAATGGAGGTGCAAAGGAGTTGTAACGGAGCTGCATGACTGAGCTGTAACGGAAGCTGTAACGGAGCTGTAGCGGAGGTGCATCGGAGCTGCAATGCAGCTGTAACGGAGCTGTAACGGAAGCTGTAACGGAAGCTGTAACGGAGCTGTAACGGAGCTGTAACGGAAGCTGTAAAGGAGCTGTAACGGAGGTGCATCGGAGCTGTAGCGGAGCTGTAACGGAGGTGCATCGGAGCTGTAGCGGAGCTGTAACGGAGGTGCATCGGAGCTGTAACGGAGCTGCAACGGAATTCTAACGGAAGCTGTAATGGAGGTGTAACGGAGGTGCAACGGAGCTGTAACGGAGCTCTAATGGAAGCTGTAGCGGAGATGCCACGGAGCTGTAACGGAACTGTAGCAGGTGCTGTAACGGAGCTGTAACGGAGGGCCCACGGTGGGTAGCGCAAATCCCATAGTAAATGATGGTAGAGCCCACCTCCAAGTTTAGGGTTTAGGGATTTATGCCAGGGATTGGCCTAGGAAATTTCGGTTTGCCACACCTCATCACACTGCTACAAGCTCTAAGCTCTATGGTAGAAGTAAGGTTGTACCTGCATCAACTAGGGTCATCCATAGGCAGAACTATTGTTATCCTACCTATCCCTACTAAACAACTCCCCCCCCGCGCCCCCCCCCCCCCGCCCTCCCCACCCCTAGAAAACCTTAACAGAACAGCAAAACCATCACGTCATAAAGGCGGCCAAGCGACAACACGGCCATTGCTGATCTGATTGCCGCCATAGCCGCGGCAATCGGGCACGTACTGCCTCAGCTGGTTGGGTGAAGGGCGTAAGGTGAAGAGTTTAGGGTTTGGGAGTTCGGGGGCTCACGGTCGAGCATCTTGGGGAGTTCAGGCCATTATGGCTTGGGAGTTGAGAGATGAAGGTCTGACTCCCTTATGGTTGGAAGTGTGGGGTGTTCAGCCTAAACCACTCTGATACCATCAAAAGCGCAAACCCTAAGCCCTACTTGTCGATTCATGATAGCTGTTAGTAGGGCTTCAAGAACCCTACTTGAGGTTGTTTAAGTATATATATATATACATATGTATATATATATATACATACATACACACAGATAGATATATACATTTCTGTATAGATGTTATAGTTATATACATATATATATGTTTATGACTACTGTTACCCCCTGTCTTAGAGCCCCATGTAGAACTACCCGTGACCTCCCAAGCAGACAGCGGAGAACCCGACAGTGCGTAGCCAAGCCGTGCTGCAGACTGGCAGGCGGAATAGTGCTGCACCAGCTCCTGCTCTCAGAGTTTAGGGTTCATGCTTTTTAGGGTTTAGGGCTTAGGGCTTAGGGTTTAGGGTTTAGGGTTCAGGGTCTAAAGGTTTAGGAACCTTACCACCTCAACCCTCATCCACCCCCTTACAAATCAAAGAACCCTAAACAGAAAGACGCTACAGCTCTACAACCCACAAACCACTAACAGCCATGACTATGCTCGACATAACCCTAAACCCTAAACCCGAAACCTGCAACCCCAAAAGCCGAACCCGCTGAAGGAAGACGAGGCTCGGGTACCGCGTGGCGCCCTTCACCTTGAGCCCGGACCTGGAGAACTTAGGGTTTAGGGTTTAGGGTTTAGGGTTTATGGTTTAGGGTTTAGGGTTTAGGGTTTAGGGTTTAGGGTTTAGGGTCCGGAAGGGACTGCAGGGTTTGGGGCTTAGGGCTTCGATTTCAGATGGCTTTTGGGGATTGTATAGGCTTGAGGCCTCACCCTAAACTCCCTAAACCCTAACGCCTCAACCCTAAACCCTTAAGCCTAAACCCCAAACCCTAAAGCCCAAAGGCCTTCTTGGTGGATTTCTCCGCAGGTTTTCAGTTGGGGGCTTCAAGCTTGACATTGAGGGGCGTTTGGAGGCCCTGGGCCCTAGATAGCTAATCCCCGTAAACCTGAAACCTAGAGCTCAAAGCCCTAAACCCTAAACCCTAAACCCTAAACCCTAAACCCTAAACCCTAAACCCTAAACCCTAAACCCTAAGCCCCAACCCCCACTCTCTCCCCGAATGGGTCTACCCCGAGAAACTAAGATGAAAAGCAATAAGGACCCTCACCCTAAACCCCAAACCCTAGATCCCAAAACCCGAAAAACCCCAAACCCCCCAAACTCTAGACCCCAAACCCCAAACCCTTAACCCCCAAACCCTTAAACCCGAAACCCTAAAAACTTACAGAGAAGATTGGCCTCAACGGGATTCATAGGGTTTATAGTATAGGTTTTGCCGGGTCTATAGGTTCTATAGGGCCTAGGGCAGGTTATAGGGTCTTTAAGGGGCAGGTTCAAGGGGGACCCCAAACCCTTAACACCCAAATCCCAAACCCCCAAATCCTAAACCCCAAACCCCACAAGCCCTAAACCCTAAACCCTAAACCCCCAAACCCTAAACCCGAAACCCCCAAACCTTAAACTTACAGAAAAGATCGGCCTCGACTCCGGCCAGGGCTCTCCCAGCGCCTGCTCCTGGGCGTTGGATGGTGTTGGGAAATTTTGGGGGCCCCCTGGGGGCCCTTTAGGGTTTAGGGGTTTGGGGTTTGGGGTTTAGGGTTTAGGGTTTAGGGTTTAGGGCTCAGGGTTCAGGGTTCAGGGTTCAGGTTTGGGGCTCAGGGTTTAGGATTTTGGGGCTTAGGGTTTTGGACTTTTAGGGTCTAGGCTTTTGGATTTGGGGGTCCATTTCAGGGTTTTGGGTATACTATATCCCATAAACCCAATAAACCCTGAACACTTCTTAAGGACCCGAAGCCTTAAACCCCAAACCCTAAGCACGTCTTAAGGACCCGAAGGCTCAACCTCCAAACCCTAAACACTTCTTAAGGACCCTAAGCCTTAAACTCCAAATCCTAAACACTACTTAAGGACCCTGAAATATGGGGCTTCCTTTGGGGCGAGATGCTTTGGAGGAGGCTTGGTTCGAGAGTTCCGCTTCTCGCCCTGATCCCTAGACACTGAACCCTAAACCCTAAACCCTAAACCCTAACCCCTAAACCCTAAACCCTAAACCTCTAAGGTTTGGGGTGTAGGGTTTAGGGTTGAAGGGGTTTGGGGCTTAGGGTTGAGGGTCTAAACCCTGAACCCTGGACTCTAAACACACTAAAGCTCTACAACCCAGAACCCTGAAACCCTTCAACCGATTCCAAGCACCCTAAACCCGAAACCCTAAACCCTAAACCCGAAACCCCACACCCTAAACCCTAAACCCGTTCATGTACCTACTTGCTACCAAAAAGGAAGGACGATGAATGAGCAATGGAGAGGCCTCGGCAGCCGCCCTGGCCAGCAAGAAAAGCGCGAGACCGCGGAAAGCCATGGCTGCTGCCAAGAGCCCTCCACCCAAGCACCTCCCTTGAGTACAAATCTGCTGGGGTTTAAGGTTCAGGGTTTAGGGTTTGGGGTTTAGGGTCTAGGGTTTAGGGTTTAGGGTTTAGGGTTTAGGGTTTAGGGTTTGGGGTTTAGGGGTTTAGGGGTTTAGGGGTTTAGGGTTAAGGGTTTAGGGTTTGGGGTTCAAGGTTTCCCTCAACCCCTCAACCCTCTTACCCTAAACCCTAGTCCCCTCAACCCGACAAGCCTAAACCCCGAAACCCCTAACCCCCAGGACCGTGAAACCAAAAAAAGCAGAACCCTAAACCCAAAAAAAAAAAAAAAAACCATCCCAGAACCCGGGACCCCACTAAAACCCCAAACCCGGAAAAACCTAAAACGACGAAAAGTCCGGAACTTCAGCACCTGGCAACCCTGAAGGCCAGGGGATCCGGCCCCCCCCCCCCCCCCGCCCTCCCTAGGGGTTTAGGGGTTTGGGGTTTAGGGTTTAGGGTTTAGGGTTTAGGGTTTAGGGGTTTAGGGGTTTAGGGGTTTAGGGGTTTAGGGTTTAGGGGTTTAGGGCTTGGGGTTCGAGGTCTTGGGGCTTCAGGGTTTGAGGTTGAGAGTTCAGGGTTGCGGGCCTCGGGTCGAGTGTCTTTGGTGGCGGTTTTGGGGTCGACCTCGCCTCCGAACTTGGAGCAGATCGCCTCAGCACCAGGGCTTATCGACGCCAGCGCACCTCCAAGAGTGCCGAGGGCGCAACAAAACGTGCGAGCTCTCTAAGAGGGAATTCGGGGAACTGGCTGCCTTCTCTCCCCCCTATACAAACCCTACTTCCTAAGCTCCACTTCGCCAGTTCCGCACTAAGCAACCCGCAAGACAAAGGACTGAGTGAGCTGAACCTCGCAACCCTAACACCCGAAGCTTTCTTCCTGAAGCCGCGACCCTGCCTTTAAACTCCCAATGCACTCTAAAGACGGTCACGGAAAGCCCTCCCCCCCCCTCCCAATGTCGCAGCTTCGGCAACAGGGCCTTCTGTTGGCTCCTTTCAACGCTTGGGGGTTGAGTGGTTTGGGGTTTAGGGTTTAGGGTTTAGGGTTGGGGTTTGGGGTTTAGGGCTTAGGCTTGGGATAAAGCGTGTGTACCAGAGGCTAGGAGTATGCAGCTCGTGCTGATTTCCGGTCGACCCTCAAACCACCCGCCCTAAAGCCGCAACCCCAAACCCTAAACCCAAAAAAAACCTTTAAACAAATAATAAGATGGAAAACGAAAGCCCTAAACCTTAAACCCTAAACCCAAAGCGTCGAACCCCCCGCCCCCCCAACCCTAAACCCTAAACCCTAAACCCTAAACCCTAAACCCTAAACCCTAAACCCCAAACCCCAAACCCCCACCCCATTGCTGGGAAGCCTTGGCTACCGGGACCGCTCTCGTCGATGGCTCCTGAAGGCCGTCCCGTGCTTTCTCTTTATACCCTGAACCCTCAACCCGAAACCCTTCAAAACCCTTCAAAACCCTTCAAAACCCTTCAAAACACTTCAAAACCCTTCAAAACCCTTCAAAACCCTTCAAAATCCTTCAAAACCCTTCAAAACCCTGCAAAACCCTTCAAAACCCTTCAAAACCCTTCAAAACCCTTCAAAACCCGTCAAAACCCGTCAAAACCCTAAACTCCCAAGCTCCCACACCCTCAACCCCTAAACCCCATACCCTGGGTTGAGATTGCAGTCTGAGGTTTTGGGTTCAGACCCGGGAACGAACAGGCTCTGACCTCTTGTTCGTGTGGTTTGCGGCTTAGGGTTTCGGATTGGGGTTTGGGGTTTAGGGTGTAGGGGTTTAGGGTTTGGGATTTAGGGCATAGAGTTTAGGGTTTAGGGTTCGAAGTTGACTTGAGGGTGTTCAAGGTTCGGTTCTGCTCTGCAAGAAGACGCCGAACCCAGCGCAGCACCTAACCCTCAGCCCACAGAAGACCTGCAAGCCAACCTACAATAAGGGTAGAGTACCCCTTGGGATGTTCCCTCTTAATCTAACAGTCCTTACTAGGGACTAGAATACAAAATATTCTTATCCCGATTAAAGACTGTTAGTATAAGGGGGACTATCCCAAGGTACCCGTTTTTCTTTAATCGCTAAGCCTTCAAGCTTTCATATGAAGCAGGGTATATATTTCTGGTACCCCCAAAAGGACACCCAACATTTACACTCACCAATAGCAAAAAGGAACCTTTTATACACTCACCCCAAAAACAGAAATACAAACCCTGCTTTCATATGTTGGGACAGATTAAAGGCACTACGGGGCATCCGAGTTCAGCACAGCGCGACGGCGGGAGTCGGGGCTTCTACTTGGAGGTTCATGGGTACTTCTAGCCCCCAACTAGAAGTCTACGCACAACCTACTTCGGGGACTGAGGGGCCGATAAGTGCAGTTCTAGTTGGGGTTATACGTACCCTAAACCCTAAACCTTAAACCCTAAACCCTAAACCTTAAACCCTAAACCTTAAACCCTAAACCCTAAACGTAGTCCAGAGCCCTGGGACGTCCTGCGCAGGGCGCGGCGCTGTGGCACAGCGCGCCGTCCTGTTCTGCGACGGTCCCGGAGGCCCCCACACCCGTGAATCCCTGAACAGGCTTTAGGGCTTAGGGTTTTGGGTTTAAGGTCTAGGGTTAAGGGTTTGGAGATAAAGGTGTTTATGGGGATAATGGGGTTTAGGGTTTGGGGTTTAGGGTTGCGGGTTTGGGGTTCCCTAAGGGTTCCTGAAAACCCTGCTGCAACATAACGAGGTCTGGCTGTGGGGTGGACAACTCGCCCAAGGCTCCCCAACCAGGCTCCGCTCTCAGGGATTATGATGAGGAGGAACCCCTAGAAGGGACCCTTCATCTGATTGTTCCCCCTATAAAGGCCCCCATATACACGTTAGATTGTCCCTATGTACCGAAGTAGCCTAACCCCGAAGTAACCCCGAAGGTCCCTCATGAGGGTCCCTCCTGTAGTCCCTTGATGATTAGGGTTTAGGGTTTAGGGTTTAGGGTTTAGGGTTTAGGGTTTAGGGTTTAGGGCTTAGGCTTTAGGGTTTAGGGTTTAGGGTTTAGGGTTTAGGGTTTAGGGTTTAGGGTTTAGGGTTTAGGGTTTAGGGTTTAGGGCTTAGGGTTGAGGGTTGAGGGTTTAGGGTTTAGGGTTTAGGGTTTAGGGCCACTTCCCAGGAGGGGTCCTTGATGGTGTACTCGCTGTGCAACAACAAGGCGGTCAGCCTTGGCTTCACAGGGGTCCCCTAACCCGGCCCCAAGAATGTCCAGACTCTAAAGCACCTCAGAGTGTGTTAAGTTCAGAGGGTTTAGGGTTTGGGGTTTGGGGTTTGGGGTTTAGGGTTTAGGGTCTAGGGTCTAGGGTCGAGGGTTTAGGGTTTAGGGTTTCGGGTTTAGGGTTTAGGGTTTAGGGTTTCGGGTTTCGGGTTTCGGGTTTAGGGTTTAGGGTTTAGGGGGTGCCCGGACCCCCCCCGCCCCCCCCCTGCAAAGGGGCACCCCGACACACTCCCCCTACTATTCTATGAGGGCTTGGGGTTTCGGGTGTGACCCCCCCGCCTGCTCGAGAAACTGACCTTCAGGGTCAAGTACTGCAAGCCACCACCCTCATGAGCTCAACAACAAGCCCCCATTCAAACTCTACAAAACCCTAAGAACCCAAAACCCCAATATCTTAAAGACCCTTACCCTAAATGCTAAACCCTAAACCCTAAACCCTAAACCCTAAACCCTAAACTCTAAACCCTAAACCCTAAACCCCAACTCTTAACACCCCCAGGAAGCCGAAAAGCTCCAGAGCCCGAAACGCGCGAATCTACACCCCTGAATCCCTACAGTAACAGAAACGACAAACCATCTTGTGCTTAGGGGCTTGGAGCTTAAGGGGCTTTTTGGGAGTTTAGGAGGTTTAGGGGGTTTGCCGGCTTTGGGGGTTTTAGGGCTTTACCTGTTCTGTTTGGGGTTTAGGGCTTTGGGGTTTGCAGGGCTTTAGGATTCAAAGGCCCCCGTGTTAAACCCTCAAACCTCAAACCCTAAACCCAAAACCCTAAACCCTCAAACCCGAAACACTAAACCCTATATACCCAAACCCTAAACCCTAAACCCTATATACCCCAAACCCTAAACCCTAAACCCTCAACCGCACCGTGGCGCATGTCGGCGGCGGACGCCACCCCGGCGTCGCCCGCATCCTGCTGCGGTGGCGATGGAGGGCTTGCGGGTAGCTTGAGGGGCTGTAAGAAGCGTAGGGCGGAAGAAGTTTTGGGCTCAAGGTTTGGGGTTTTCGGGTTCTGAGGGTTTAGGATTGGAGGCTCTGAGGGTTAAGGGTCAGTAGGGTTCAGGGTTTTAGGGAGTTTGGGTTTTCGAGTTGTGGGCTATTTGGGTTTTAGGGTTTAGGGTTTACGGCCGGTTTAGGGGTAACCCACCAAAGATAACTTCAGCGTCTTACAGCCCGAGCTTCGAACTTGAAAAAGTAAGGCTTCTCAACTCGAAACACCTGGAGGGGTGTTGGGTTCTCAACCCTAAACCCTAAACCCTAAACCCTAAACCCTAAACCCTAAACCCTAAACCCTAAACCCTGCTTACCCTGAACCCCTCTCCATATCCCGCTCGCCCCCCCCCCCCCCCCCCAATCCAGAAAATCAAAACTGAGCTCTTAGCCCTAAAACCCGAATTCGAACTTGGAAGGCCCTTGAAACCACTCTGAAAAGTCTTTCTGAAGGTCCTCTTAAACCCAATAAGGGAAATAGCACTTCCCAAGGGCCTACCGAGCTAGTACCCCCTACTATCATCCCTATCAAGGACTGTTCGTATAAGGGTGAACCTCCAAAAACTCTGAACTCGAAACCCCCAAGACCTTCTTTCGGGCTTGGCCCAACTTGCTGGCTTCAGGCCTTGGCTGCACTTAGGAGGGTAGCTATAAATTAAACTTTTAGCTGCCTTACTAAGAAACCCAATAAACCCAAAAAAGGTAAGGATCTAAAGTTACGGTAAAGTACCACAAAGAGGCCAGCCTGCGAGTCTCCCAAGAGCGTGGCGAGCAGGGGAACGGCGATGGAGCGTGACACGCCTGGACTGACGGAAGGATGTTTAGGGTTTAGGGTTTAGGGTTCAGGGTTCAGGGTTTAGGGTTTAGGGTTTAGGGTTTAGGGTTTAGGGTAACAAAAACTGAACCCTCAATACTTCCCGCAACTGAAGGATATGAGAGCCGGTTGCCAGCGCCAATCATCTCTTGCTTGCTTAGATATCTACTTATCTACTTGTAAAACCTTCGGTGGCTCTTTTCTATGTAGCTGCATTGAGATTCACTGTAACACCATGAGGCTTGGCAGTTGTCTTACCAGCTGCACACTGGAGTTCCTTCTAGCTTTGAGCGAGAGTTATGCAGGAGCTTGCTAGAAACATGTAGATCTTAGGTGAGAACTCTACATCTACAAGCAAGAACACCACTGCTAGTAGCCGGAGGGTGTTGCAATTTGTTGTTATCTGCCAGAAACTGTATAGACAGATGTTACTTCCAGCCACAGCCAGAAAAGAGTAGAAAGTAGAAAGTGCTGTAGTGCAGTAGCAGCCACTACAATACACTTCCTGTTGAAGTAGCCACATGTGTAGCGGCTAGAAGTAGCCGTGGCTCATTGCAGCCACTACTCTTCTGCAAATGTTTGACGGCTACTCTTCTACAAGCGGCTGTTGAAGTAGCTACAAGAGTCTTGTTGTACAGCTGTACTGGCCCTCAGCCCTCAAGCCCAAATCCCCAGACCTTCCAGAAACTCTCAACCCACCTTCTCCTCTCGGACGCCCGCCTGTACCTGTCTCGCCCAAAGCCAGCAGCTCTCTGACCTTGCACTTTAGGGTTTAGGGCTTAGGGCTTAGGGTCCTAAGCTCGAAACCCTCAACTCCAAACCCTCAGCACCTAAACTAATCCCTCGACCCTAAGCCCCGAACCTTTTCGTCTTGTTCTGACCCTTTATCTTGTGAACTAGTTTGCAGTCATTGAGAAACCATGTTCCAGCGACTTCGAACACGCTCGCGCTTTTTCCAAAAACCTGTAGACTGACAGGCGAATCATGACAATAATAGTTGAATCAACGTCATGCACCCCATATGTCCCTGCAAAAGCGTGGCGATATGTGGGGGGGTTTACGAAAAATAAGGGACCCCTAATATAGACCCCTAATAGTAGGATTCCCATATCATGACCCCTAAGTTTCGGAAACCCCATATTCGTGTACCCTAAACCCCAAAACCCTTGAGATGAGTGGCCGCGGCCGTCACTGGACCAACCTTCTCGCCCTCGGGGAAGAGTCGAACCTCTGCCTGGGCTTTGCACTCAGAAGTGCTAGGGGTACCCTAGGCTGCCCAGTAACCAAGGCTTAAAAAGGGTGCCCTTTTTTGCTTAAAGGGGTTTATAAGGGAACCTAAACCCCCCAAAAAGGGAATAAGCGTACTACTGGGCATCCTAGTACCTATTTGGGCTTTTCACGATGAGGATTCGTGGGATGCAAAGGGGGTACTACCTCTAAGCTCAGAAAATACGATTTATGGGCTTCAGGCTGTTTAGAGTGTCGGAGATAAGGGTTTAGGTTGAGGGTGTAGGATTGTAGAGTGGGATGTTCCTCCTTATACTAACAGTCCGCAATAGGGATTATAAGAGGGGGTGCTTTAATCCCTGTTAAGGACTGTTAGTATAAGGGGGGAGCATCCCAAATTGTAGGGTTTAGCACTTAAGGGCGCATGTCTGAAGGAGATGACAGAACAGAGGACTACATGAAGTGGATGAAGTCAGCGAATTAGCTAAATTTTAGGTGCTAGAAGTTGTGAAACATAATGCAAACCAAAGGAAAGATAAGACAACTATATCGAAAGGGCATAATTCGTCGCGACAGTTTTTCTTGTTCTTGTGGGCCTTTTTCGCTCCCCCAACGTACTATCACTGTTAAAAAGTCCCAACGAATAGAAATGCACAAAAGCTTGGACGAATAATCGAAGGTCGGCTCACACACACCTTTAATGAAATAAACGTACGGTAGCTCCTAAGAATAAACGCTGTTGGTACGTGCAAGTATTCACTCTTAAACGATTTAAAGGTTGAGGGCTTAGGGTGTTGTTTTGGGTTTGTGAGGGCTGAAGCGGCTTAAGGGTTTAGGATTAAGTGCGCTGGCCGGTGTCCGGTCGAGAAACTGTTCTCAGGGGCATTCGGCTCTTTGCGAATCTCCCAACCCGAAAGCCCCTCCGCACTTAAACTCCTTGAAACCCCGGAATGCCCGTAGGGTTCAGGGTTCGAGGGTTTAGGGTTGAGGGTTTGGACCGTTAACCCTAAACCCCAAATCCCAAATGCCCTTGAGCCCTTAACCCTCAAGCCCTCCCTCTTCTTTGGTTTAGGGGGCGTTGGGTTCTGAGTACGGGGCTTGGAATGGGGGCATGTCTTCGCTCCAGCTCCAAAGCTAGGGTTTAGGTTGGGATGTTCCCCCTTATACTCACAGTCCTGAAGAGGAATGAAAATAGGGGTCCCTATTAAGGACTGTTAGCATAAGGCGGAACATCCAAAGGTTTAGGGTTCTGAGTTTCAGTACCTCGATCCTAAACCGTGAGACAGGGCACAAGGAGCCCTCCACCGCCCCTGAAAGCCAAAACCTACCTGGCGGCCGAGACGCCCCTGATAGATGTCACAATTCTCCAGGTGGTTACATGGTCCCTTCGTGTGTACCCTATACCAGACTAAGGGACCATGTAACTACCCTTAAAACCTCCTTGAAAGCCGGGGTCTGGGGTTTAGGATGTGCAAGGTCTTGCGCTTCGGGTTTGGGGGCTTAGGGCTGCAAGGGCGTCAACCCTCAACCGTCAACCCTCAACCCTCAACCCTAAACCCTAAAACCCTATAAAACCCTGCCCTAAACCCAAAACCCTAAACCCTAAACCCCTACCCCGGTCTCCGCGGCCGCGGCGCAGCGCGCAAAGTGGGGTCCTTACCGGCTGAGTGTTCTCTAGGGCTGAGGGCTTCTCAGATTTCACGGATGTTTAAGGGTTTGTATTGGCTTTAGGGCCTTTTGGGAACTTTCAGGGTTCAGCGTTCCAAGGGCATCTTAACAAGAAGGCGAAAGGCTGGGATGTTCGCCCTTATGCGAACAGTCCTGAATAGGGATGTTAATTGGAGGTACTATAATCCCGATTAAGGACAAGGGTATTTACATGGTCCCTGAAAATTTGTATATATATATATATATATATATATATATATAGGGAATAAAACGGGTACATAAGGGATGCCCTGAAGGGCCCATACTAAGGGACCATGTTAGCAGAAGGGGGAACATCCAACCCCTTTGTAACCCTTATGTGGTCCCTATACCTAAGTAGCCCCTAAATAACCCCCCAAGAACCCCTAAGGTCCCTAATAAGGCTCCCCTAAACCCTAAACCCTAAACCCTAAACCCTAAACCCTAAACCCTAAACCCTAAACCCTAAACCCTCCTTTAGTCCCCGCAAGAAGGTGAAAGGCTACCAGGTCAGCACCTAAGGGTCCAGGAGGGCCGCGGCGAGCTCGATGATGCAGCCCCGGGCCATAAAGACGGCGCCTGCGGGTGGATTGGGGTTTAGGGTTTAGGGTTTAGGGTTTAGGGTTTAGGGTTTAGGGTTTAGGGTTTAGGGTTTAGGGTTTAGGGGTTTGGGGTTTTCGGGTTTTCGCGTTTAGGGTAGTTTAGGGTTTAGAGTTTTAGAGTTTCAGGGTTCTACGGTCGGGCGGTTGGCAGCCTTGGGTCTTAGGCCGGTTCAGATTGCCGAGGATAGTGGGGGGCTCCCCCCCCCCCCTCCCCGCCCCCACGCCTCTAAACCCGAAGCGGGAGCCTAGAAGGGTTTAGGGTCTAGGGTTTAGGGTTTAGGGTTTAGGGTTCAGGGTTTAGGGTTTGGGGTTTAGGGTTTAGGGTTTAGGGTTTGGGTTTAGTGTTTTGGGTTAACCCGGGTTTAGGGTTTAGGGTTCGGGTTTAGTGTTTTGGGTTAACCCAAAAACCCAAAACACTAAACCCAAACCCTAAACCCTAAACCCCAAACCCCAAACCCTAAACCCCAACCAAGAGCGCCTTCGCCCACGCTTTGTGAGATGAAGCCCCGGAGGTACTGGCACGTCTCCGCCAGTGCGTCTCGCTGAACCTCGCCTGCGAAGTTTGGGTTCGGGGCTGCAACATTTGCAGGGGTTTAGGGTTTACCCCCAAGAATCTAGCCTAAAGTAGCTAAACCCTAAACCCTAAACCCTAAAGCATTCCCAAGCCAAGCTTTAGACTGCTCTCAGCATGTTCAGTCCCAGAGACCTTGACTCCTAGAACCACAAGGTAACCTAGGAAGAGTTTAGGGTTTAGGGTTTAGGGCTACCAGACCCAAGAATAACCCAGGATTAAAACGGGTACCTTCTTTGGTTTAATAAGTTGCTGATAAGGGAACCCAAACCCTCCAGAAAAGGGGATAAGGGCCTACTCTGGGTCCTAGATTCTTAAGATGCTCCCACCTAACCTCATGGGCCTTGTACCCTCTGGCCCCTAAGCCCTGGATGCCTCCTAAACCCTTTACCTCAGAATGCTGCCAACGGCCCAGAGATAGAGAGCTCAGATGAATTTAGGGTTTGGGGTTAAGGGCTTCGTGCTTAGATGATGTTTTGGGGTTCTACTGTCTTGGGTGCGGGTGTGGGATAAGGTAGACAAAGACGGCGGGCGGTCTACCATCAGCGCCACTGGCAGAGTGCGGCTCGCTGCAAACCCTCGACCCTAACCCCCCCAAACCCTGAACACGAAACCCGAACCCCCAGAAACCCTGAACCCTCAACCCTGAACGTTGACCCCCACACCTCTAAACCCTGCATAAACCCTAGACCCTAAACCCCAAACCGTGAACCCCCTAACAACCCCAAGCAACGGCCTGGCAAAGCATCCTCCTGGAAGAAGACCGGGTAGGCGACGCGCCGGGCCACCACCGCCCAGTAGGCCACATGCGGCGTTTGAAGAGTTTCGAGCTCCTGGGGTGGGCGGGGGGGGGGAGGGGTTCAGGGTTTAGGGTTTAGGGTTTAAATTAGGCTCTGGGGTAGTTTGGGGTTTAGGGTTTAAGGTTGGGTTTGAATCTAGGGTTTGGGGTCTGGGGTCTGGGGTACTGTAGCGGTGAGCATCGGGGGGGGAGGCTTTAGGGCTGGGGGGCTTGTGGCCTTAAGGCCATGCCGGTTGTTCTGGGATGTTGGATGATACTGGGTAGACAAAGACCCTAAACGCGAGCTCCTGTCTTTGGTTTGGGGTTGAGGGTTTAGGGCTGTATAAACCCTAAACCCTCACAAAAACGAAAAGGGCCCGGACCCGCAAGCTCTGCTTTGGGCCCACATCCCCTTCGCTGCAGAAATCAGGGGCGGGTCGTTGAGGCTGCATGGTTCTGGGGCCTCGGAACTTTTAGGAGGTCTGCAACGCTTGAGCCCAGAAGTTATGAAGTGTGTGGACTAACCCTAAACCCTAAACCCTAAACCCTAAACCCTACGCCCTAAGCCCTAAACCCCAAACCCCAAACCCTAACCCCTAAACCCTACACAGCGCCTGGAGCAACTCCGTGGCGATCTCTTCGATGTTGCCTGGACTACGGCCCCGTAAACTCAGAGCCCAAAACCCTGCGCCGACCCCTAAACCCTAAACCCTAAACCCTAAACCCTAAACCCTAAACCCTAAACCCTAAACCCTAAACCCTAAACCCTAAACCCTAAACCCTAACTGAGTAGTGATTTTTAAAGCCCATTGAAAAACATCTATGAAAAGGTTCCCTTAGAAGGGAAAGAAGGGAGATGCAAAATTATCCCAAAGCACTGCCCAGGTGAAGTCTAGGTTCAGGGTTGAGGGCTGTGGGTTGAGGGGTCTGCCGAAAACCGCAAACCCTCACGACTGCTTAACGCTTTGAATTCTGAAGCCCTAAACACCGGTCAGCCGGCCCGCCCAAAAAACCCAACCCTTAAACCAACAAATGCCTGTAAACACTTAGCCCTCAAACCCCCAACCCTGAAACCCCAAACCCTGTAAACACTAAACCCACGCAAACAAGGGTTGAGGGCCTGGAGTGGAAGGGGGGGCGGGGGGCACACTACCGCTTGTAGGGCTCAGAAGCCGGAGGGTAAGGAGTCCCTTCGAGGCTGCCTGTGTGTGCCGACAGCGCCGCCAAGAAGTTCTCTTGCCCCAGGACCTCTGACACCGGGTTTGGAGTCTTTTGGTCCTTGGGGGCTTTAAGGTCCTGGGCGTTCACTTTGACTGTCTTTTAGCGTGCGTATGCTAGTGTTCTGCTACGAAGCTCGAAGTTCCGGGTACAAAACTGCATAAAGTGGGCAGTTGCGACTCGCTATCTCCAGGCCAAGCCCTGAATCCTGACTTGGGCCGAATCAACCTGATTCAGGCCCGGCTTCTGAGGTCACCCTAAACCCTAAACCCTAAACCCTAAACCCTAAACCCTAAACCCTAAACCCTAAACTTCAGGGATTTAGGGTTTGGGGCTTTGGGGTCTGAGGTCTTGGGGCGTTTTGGGGGGTATGTGGGGTTTTTAGAGTGGTAGGGGTGCCCTCAACCCTCTGCTTTGGGGATTTAGGTTCCTGGAGCTGCTTTTCGGGCGCCACGCAGCAGCCCTCGCAGCCCAAATCAGACGAACCATCTGCGGACCAGATCTGTGAAGCTGCGACCCTGAACCCTAAACCCTAAGCCCTAAACCCTGAGCCCTAAACCCCAAACCCTAGACCCTAGACCCTAGGCCCTAAACCCTAAACCCTAAATCCTAAACCCTAGACCTAGGCTTCAGGTTGAAGGATTTTAAGGATTCTTGGGATTCAAGGCTTGGGGTTGGGATGTTTTGGGATTCAGGGTTTCGGGCTCGAAGCACACCCACGGCTCATCTGGTCCACTTCAGGAGCTTGCAGGTTTAGGGTTTTGCTCAGGTGCGTTCCGGAACAGGTCTCGTGGGAACAAGGGTTTAGGGTTTAGGGTTTAGGGTTTAGGGTTTAGGGTTGAGGGTTGAGGGTTGAGGGTTGAGGGTTTCGGGTTTAGGGTTTAGGTTTTAGGTTTTAGGGCTGGGGCAAGGCATCCGAGGAACGATTCCCGAGAGAGCACGCCACTTTGCCGCCAGGAACACCTGGGCATCTGCTTCTGAACCGGAGTCCACGGGTTTCGGGTTTTGGGGCTTCAGGGTTTTTAGGGCCTGTTAGGGTTTAAGGGTGAAATGGGGTTTTTAGGGTTTTGAAGCATTTAGGGTTTAGGTTTCTTGGGTTTTTAGGGCTTTTGGCATTTTACGGGTTTCTAGGGGTTTTGTGGTTTTTGGGTTTTTTTTGGGGTGTTTAGGATTGGTTCACGGAGACCTGCGCCCTCACAATTCTCGACATCCCTAAACGCCTTGATTCGACCTAGAAACTCCAATATTTGTAGGATTTAGGGTTTAGGGTTTAGGGTTTAGGGTTTAGGGTCCAGGGGTGGTTTCAGGGTTTGCGGGGTTGAGCATGTTTGGCGATCAGCATTCGTCTCTGCCACCAAGCGGCAGGCGCTACATCCCGCCATTCCTGCACCGCACGAAGCTTGCGTTGCGGTGGAAGGGTCTAGGGTTGATAGTATGCACTCAAGATCCCTTACAAACTCGATCAAATTCGCTAGCCCTGTATC